ATTTAAAACCACATACTGAAACGGCCTGGGTTGGATTTGAAAAAATTGGATTTGTCGCGTTCAGACTGTCATAAAAAAATCGGATATGAGTCAGATGGGTCAAAAAAAATCGGATTTGGGTCGGATTTGCCTGCAGTGTGAACGTAGCCTTTGAGGGTCTCGAAAAGCGCTATATAAAACTAATGCATTATTAGTTATYTCAGTTTGGGCCCTCCATACTGCAGAACTTGGAAGAGGTAATTTAATGTCTGAATCAGGTGTGTTGGAGCAGGGAAAAACATAAAACCTGTAGGGCTGCGGCCCTCGAGGACCAGGATTGCCCACCCCTGGTTTAGACAAAGGGTGGTGTTTTCTAAGTTGTTTAACATATTTACATGTAAAAACCAGGGAAAAAAGCTGACATTCAGAATTCTTGTGTCATGCTCATCGTTTGATTTTAAATGTCTTCAGTGGACAACAAAAACTATAGAATCTGACTTGTTGTTCCAAAATTTTTGGAGGGAACTATATTATTCATTTGAAAGCCTGAGACTGAATGCAGTTTAATTCAAAATGATTGGATACTGAAAAACACAATCAAATACTGATCAAACTAATTCTGAATGAATAGCATTTGTTGAAAGCCTGTCCTCTCCTCATTAACTGAAYCTAAACACTTTTATAGTTGTTAGTTTTTATGTAAATGACCAGGTTATTCTGTCATAAGACCAAATACTTAGAAATCCCTTCTGTTTTGATGCTTTCTGGCTTTAATTGCCCAGTTAAACGTTTTTTTCTCATTAAGCTCACTGCTTTGGTTTCATTCTTTGAATTGTTTTTCCATTTTCTAAATTACTCCCTGCTATTCATGTTTTGTTAGTAGCAAACCTTCACATCATGTCCCACATTTAAATGTTAAAAACACAGCTTTACCATGAAAACTGTAAATCTAAGCATTTCTTTATTTCATGTTAATCTTCAGACAGTGAGAAAAAGACAAGTCATTGTTTTACTGTTCTCTAGTCTAATAAACAATCATATAAATGTTTAAAACAAACTAAGTTAACGGTGGTCAATGCTGTATTTCTACTGCTTCTTCGCTCCGATCTGAACAAAAGTAACATAACAGTGTTCAACATTTGTTTACTAAAATAAAACTTGGTATCTGTCCTGCTGTCRCTACATTCAGTCTGCCGGGCCTCAAACTTGTGTTCAGCTGGGTTTTGGTCCCATGTTGTAAAATGTTAATTACGTCTGAGGCAGAAAAACATGATAAAAGTTGAGTTTGTTTTTTTTTTAACATAAATGAAGTTGAATTAATTCCTAATGATGATTTCAATCTTGAAGTTCCTTGGATTAGTTTCCTTGGAACTGAGGCCAGACTGATGAGAGACAGCTGAGTCATCATTATACAGTTGATACCATTCACAGAAGAGTTCATCACAAAACAACACAAATCTAAAGAGCTACAAAGTCTGTGTGTTCGTTGTGACACAACTAAAACTCTACACACATATTTCCTCTGTAGTTAGATGGACAGTCTCCAGTCTCCTCCGAGGTAGTCGGTACAATTTTACTTCGAACAAAAATAAAATAAAAATAAAAACAAAAACACATTTCCACCAGTTTTACTGAGAATTGGTTACTCCAAAGTTCAAACAGTTGTTAGAAAGTACCAGATATAGCCTCATCTTTGTTTCCCATGTTGTAAAACCAAAACTACAGACATTTAAACTACAAAACGATGTCAGAGTAATGCACAGTGATGGAAGTATGGTGGTGTGGCTGCTCTGCTGGTGACTGTTTCAAACTGAAGGCACATTTAATGTCAGTTGAGCTGGACCATCACCTGTTTCCCATCAGAACAAGTCAGAACACGCAAACAGGATCTGTAAAAACCAGTGGCTTTAGTCTGGGATGACTCAGACTGCAAAGTGAAACCTATAGAAGCCAAAAAGTGCAGAACATTTACAGAGATGTGGGTTAATATCAGTGTCACAATCTGTCATCAACATTTAAAATCCATTTGACGCTCTCTTTGTTTACATTATTCCAGATCATTACTTTTATAGTTTGGATCTTGTACAATATAGAAACTAACCTAAATGAAAAACTATGAACTGAGGAGTGTTAGTAACGTGCACCCACATCTTAAAATGAGAAAAGAAAGGAAAACTGTCTGAAATAGTTTAGTTTTAAAAATATAATATGGTAGAGGTAGGCAGTGTGAATAACAGTCTGATATTTCCCCCCACAAATATACATACATGTACATGTTTACATGTGTATAAACATGTACCCATAAAGTCACAGTCCTAATTCTAAAGCTTTACACATCAGAGCACAAAAATTATCTGGTCCTCATCAGGTCTCAAGTGTGTTTAAAGACACTCCAAAAAAATTATATGGTTGTTGTTTAACAAAAAATAAACTCAAATGTAAAAAAAAAAAAATCACCCTTTTTCTCTGATGGAAATAATTACAGAAATCGTCAGCCTGGTGCTGCTGACCAAATGTGTGATCTTCAGTGAAACCACCTTCATTAAAGCAGGAGTTTGGTCAGGTTATTGCTACAGAGCACACAGCACGTCTGCAATGACCTTCAGAGAACAGAAACTGTTGATGAACAGAACACCTGTCAGAGACATGAAGGAGACTTCATGAATGTTTGACTGCTGTCATTAAGGGACGTTATGCAAATTGTGATATGTTTAATACAACGTTGACATTGTTTAAAATGTCTTGATTATGACAACTGGACTTGAACCATGTCAAAAATATCTTCGACAACTTGACATTCGTATATGATATATTTGACCCATCATATTGAAATGACCTAATTACATTTTCAGATTCTTGGCTTTAAAAGCTACATTTTGATACCTGGGTCATTCTGATATCGTAAATAAATCCATAT